TTTTTTTTTCCGTTTTAGTGAAGTGGAGGTGGGGTTGTTTGGGGAGCCAGTGACGAGGGGAAGAGAAGAGAAGAGAAAATGGGAAAACTTTAAAAATACCCCCGATTATAACAATTTATTTATTTATTTTATCAAGCTTTCGTATCCTAATGAATGCGGGTGTTTGACCCTTCTCTCATTAAAAAAATTTAAAAAAATTAAAAAAAAAATTAAATAGTTGATATATTGAAATTAAAATGTATTATTTTGATATATTTTTAAATAATTTAAAAAAAAATTAATAGTTATTACCCTCTCAAACACTTCAATTTTTTTTTATTTTTAACAACTATTTTTTGTCAATATAATACTTATAAAAAAGTATTAATGTTTTTTAAGGTTAATTATCATTTATCACCCAAAAAAAATCAGTTAGAAAAAGAAAAGAGAAACAACAAATAGTTATCCTGGATGGTGGAAAGAATCATAGAAAACATGGTTATAAATCCTATATGGATATGAAATCCAAATTGGATCATAGGTTCAAGATTTACATTAATTGATTTAGTTAATTTAATTTATATTTTTAAAAAATAAATCTCCAATACAATGTTTGATTAAAAAAATAAGGTTTTTCTATTAAAAACATATTAAAAGAGATCTGATTTTTATTGTGGCTTTAGATACAAAATACTATGAATTAAAATACTATAAATTAGAATAGTATAAATATATATTTTTTTAAAATATTATCTTCGTCATTGCAAAATTAATTGGAAATAAAATGATTAAACATGTTTCTTTATTATATTGTAATGATTATTTTACTTTAAAAAACATAAAAAATATATTAAAAAAAAACTTTGGATGAGTACCTCTTTTGTTTTTTTCAAAAAAAGTAAACAGCTAAGAAAAAAAAATATAAACAGAGAAGTTTCTCTATGTTTTTTAATTTTTAAATAGTAAAATAGTAAAATTATCCTTTTTCATAATTGTGAAGTAGAGTAAAAAATAATTAAATATTTTAAGATACATAAATTATTATTTAAATTCAAAAGTACTAGCATGCTAGTATGTAGGTGTATCTTATGTTTTTCGAGTGGTACATGCGACTTCTAAATTGCACCAGACATGGTTGTTTGGGATAGTGTTTGATGTGCCTCGCCACCTTCATCACGATAGCAAAGCTCATGTTCGCTACCGTCACGCGGAGGAGCTACGATGTGAGTTTTTCTCTCCTCCTCCTTTTCTTTCTCTCTTCTTTGAAAATCATGTTGGCCATTAAAAAACAAACAAAAAAGTGTGGCTATTTGGTTGTTAAGTTAAATTAAATTCTTTTTTTTTTATTGCAGTGTATTTGATTTTGAATCATTTATTAAGTTAATTTGTTTTTTCAATTTCATCCCTTGACACTTGATTTTTATATCAGATTACTCATCATTCTTTTAATTGCAATGTATTTAGTTTTGAATCATTTATTAAGTTATTTTATTATTATTTTCATCCCTTTATACTTGATTTTTATATTAAATTTGGTCTTCATTCTTTTAATTGTGATATATTTGGTCTTTGATCCTTTATTGAATTAATTTATGTTTGAGTTTTATCCCTTGATATTTTATTTTTATATCAAATATGATCCTCATTCTTTTTATTGTTATTTTTAGTTGTTCTTATGTTTTTCTTAATTGAAATTATTTTTCAATTTCATCCTTTATAGTTCGGTTTTTTGTGTCAAATTTAGTTCTTTTCTTTTCAAATCTTCTTTTTCTAAACCATTTTTTTCATTAGTTTTTTTAATTTTATCCCTAATTATTTTAGTTGGTTAGGAATTTAACATTGTTATTTTTTTTCGTGTTTGTCTTTTATGTTGTGATTTAGCCTTATGATCTGTGTCACAAGTTTTGAAAATTTGATCAAGTTGGCTTCAATCATTTTTAAAAAATCCATTCATCATCATTGAGTTTGTTGAAAGTTGGTATTCTTTTTTTTTGTGTGTGAATTTGACTTTTCTTTTCAATTTTTCCATTCAATTCAATATTTGATGATATTTAAGTTTTTATCCTCAATTTTTTTATTTCTAATTTTGATTCTTAGATTTTTTTTTTATCAAATTACAATAGGGATGAAAAGCTTTTGTTTTTGAATTCTTTATTAAATCATGTTTCCAATTGTTGAAATGGGTTTTCTATGTTACTAAGTAAAAGGTTGTTTTTCCTATGTTGAAAACTAGCGTATTCACTTACCTAAATAATGAATATATTATCTTGAATTATTTAGTTTTTTATATGAAACCAAACAGTAGAGATCGTATAATTCCTTTTCTTACAATTTTGGATCTCATGGTTATGTTTATTTTGGCTTCAAACACATCTTAGTTTTAAAGAGTACTTTAAAGAATTTAGAATTTTCAATTCTCATAGAGGTGGTCTCGTTTCATACTCGCATAGATGACTCTTATTAAGAGTTTTATGCAATTCCCAGTTGAATTTCTCAAGTTATAAGAATTATTAAAAGCTTAGCTTATCATGGTTTCATTACAACTAACACTCTTCATATAAATGGATAAGAGTGCTACAACTAAATTAATAGATGATTCAGTTGTCCATTTAAACTTAAATCTTGGGATATTCAATCAACTAGGTTGAGTTGACATTATGGTAATTTTTTGAATAGAAAGTATAGTCTCATTTTACTTGATGATTTATCAACTTACTCTCTTGTTAAGCATTTTATAAGTAAATATGCAATATTATCCTTTAACTTTATATAGTTAATAGAGATACTTTAATTTGAGAGCAACTATTTTATGATACTGTGTCTTTAACAAATGTGTCAAGACTTACCATTATATATGCATTATTTTATTCTTTACCAATTTCAAATTAGCTATCGCAATGTGCACAAATTGCTGGTATATATTTAACCAACTTGGAATATCATTAAAAATTAAAATAAAAAACTAGAAGCTATTCTTTTTTAGCTTTGTTTTAAGCTATAAACTCAAACTCTTTTAGGGATCTAGATATGCATGTTTATTTAGTCCCAAAAGACTACAACTCCTTCAACAATAATAGTAAACTCACTTGTGAATTTTAAAGTTTTAGTATCAGATATCCAATTAACATTATTATATCCTTCAAGTAAAATTGGATATCTCATATAATGGAATCCATATTTTTTACTATTTTTTATGGATGAACCATAACTTGGGTTAAACATCCTTATACTTTCATGTATTTATAAGAAGGTTTTTGATCATTCCATAACTCATATGGTGTTTTATCTAACATTTTAAAATATAAACATCCTTATACTTTCATGTATTTATATGGTGTTTTATCTAACATTTTAAAATGTATTTTATTTATAATATAATTTGTTGACAAAATATCCCTCTCAAGTTCCATGATAATCTTAAACTTATTAATATAGCATCATCAATTCTTTCAGTATAGAGTTCTTGTATTTAGCAATATTATTCTCAATTGCTTCTTATCACTTTGAATGCTAAGTTGATTTTCAACCTTGCTTTTAAAATGTTTTAACATTTCTAAAGCCTTGTATTCACTTATTAGCAAATAGATCTAATAATGATGTGTGCAATCATTGAATTAAAATACATTTTACCATCTCTAGCTTGCACGAAATCTTACTCACAAATATAGAGTGAATTAAATCTAGAGGCTTATTATTTCTGTATATAAAATAAATATGAAGACTCAACTAAATAAACAAAGAAGGAAGCTTTATTAATTTTAATATTTTTGATACAATAGTCAAAATAACGTTAAGCTTAAAGAGTCATTATATGACTGATGAACTCTTCTTTGCGTAGACCGATTCTTGCTGGCTTTAATGGTATCCTTTGAATCTTCGTGGCCATTTCAATTATTTCTTCTTATGCCCGGTTTAAATTCTTTGAGTCTTACGAGGCTGATCCATCTGATGAGAATCCGAAAGAATTAATCTGTATTTTATATTGACCTATAGAAAGGGATTTTATGAACCACGCAGGGCTTCCTCCAATCTTGGAATCAAAAGCTGAATCATGATAACCTGCCGTGTTGTAGAAGAAAAATCCCATTCATATCACAGCTCTAATGGGAATTTACGAGAGGGGGATCGAGGGAAGCAATGATCCTGTCCATGTTCATGTTTCCATGCAAAGTGAAGGTTTCTATTAGTAAAATACCTACTTCCCATTGGATTTCCTTTGAAATCGGCACAAATGACTTTGAAGCTTGTTTATCAGAAGAGAATCCATCTGTTAACAGATCATAGTTGTATGCTTTTACTTTTTGTTTAGACTATCTTATTTTGAGTCTCATTTACATGGATGCATGAAAAACAATCCAACCCACCCCCCCCCCCCCCCCCCCCCTCGATTGTTTTGCTTTGGAGCTATGATTTATAATCGCTGTTGATTTATAATCTCATGAGGGCCAACTCCTTTCAAAAGTTTAAGCTGATGATGCGGCTGGGGTCAAGATGAAAGGGCAACAACCTTGAAGGATTTGCTACTTTCCTCATGTTTCTACTTTTAACTAGTACTAGTACATTCATCTGCACTATCCGCTGTAAATTGGACTGTTAGTTTTCTAAATCTAAAAAGATGTTCAGGGTATAGAGATTTTTTTATATTATTATTAAATCCAATTAAATAGTTTAATTTTAAAATTTGTTGACCCGACTTCTTCTAATTCTAATTTCAAATTAAATTATATAAAAAGTCATTTAAAGTGAATCTCTAATTTCAAATTAAATTATATAAAAAGTTATTTAAAGTGAATTATTCAATTTAATTTGATAAGTTTAAAAATAAATTGGATGATTGGTAAAAATATAATACAGTTTTTCTTAAAAAAATTTATTCGATATTTTTTTTAGTATTGAGATGATACTAAATTAGATCAACCCTGATCACCTTATGACATGAGTCATGTACTTTAATAATTTTAATAAATTTATTTTTTTTAGATGTTTTTTATTTATTTTTATGATAATATTAGATGCTTGCAAAATTGAGTATCAACCCTAAAAAAATATTTATTTGAGATTGTGATGACCCTATAGAAAATAGAAAAATAAACCA